GTGCGGCTGGATGCGAGGACATGGATGCGAGTCTGCGTGGCGCCGGCGCAGGCGGCATGGCATTGGGGATTGCGGGAGAACTTCATCGGGTCATCACCTGCAGTAGGGTTTGCGCTTTGCACCCTGGTCGCTTGAGTCGCAGTTGACATGTGCAGTGACCAGGTGGCGACACGCTTGGGAGTTCCGGAATGGGCGCCACGCGCTAGTCTGCCCAGCTCGGGCCTGCAACGGGCATCTCGCATCAGACTTTTCAAGCCCTGGTCAAGCTCGTCGCGGGGGTCGAGGCTTAGATCATCGCAACAGGGTGCGCATACGCTTACCGAAGGACACACAAAGGCCCGAACTGTCATTTCGCCAGAGGCGGAACCGGGATCTAGCTCCCAAGAGTCCAAGGGCGATCGCAAGTTTCACCAGGATGCCGTGTCACAAGTGCATGATCGAAAGTGTGCTCTGCCTGCACTCATGATGTTGTGCATTCTGCTAACTCTGACCAGACTGGCCGCCCTTCCCCCCTCCACAAACAGTTTTTGCACGAAGCCGCTCAGCATGCCTCCAATCTGCAGCTGCCCGTTTGTTTGAGGTAGCGAGGCCAGCTTACACATGAACTCATGAACTGTCAAGGCATTGTGAAGATGCGTCGTCGCACAGATGTCTGGAACCCGTCAGGGGTAAACAGTTATGGAGGCCGTGTGAGGCGCTTGCCATGGAGCATGCCTCCCACAAGAACCCAGGCCTGCACAATTGCTGAGGGCTTCCTGTGATCTGTAGTGAGTCCAAGTCGATGGCCTCCATGGCTGCTGTACCACAGACGAGCATGCTGCCAGCGCAGCTCGCAGTTGCTCTTTGATGCGCTTTCAGGTCCCACACGCCGTGAGCCCAGCTCCGGAGTCCAGGATCACGAGGGCTGGTGCAGACTGGTAAGGGTAGTCCGTCGAGCTTCTCAACAAGCACATTCTTCCGTGGATCTCCCACACCTTCAGCGGCAGGAATCGCTTCCGCCTGTGTTGCTTGGGCGGCTGCATCTGACTGGGACTCAGAGGGTGGAACACGGCCATCTCCTTGGTGATTCGGGCTGTTTTGAGAAGGTGCCATGAAGAACCGATAGACGATAGCCCACACAAGCAAGTTGTTTCGATGAGGGCTTGATCGCAAACGTGAAGGTCTCGGCCATCCCATGTGCCGCACATCGTCAAGGCAGCTGCTTCGAAGAAAAAGCAAGCTTTGTGACTGAATCCGTGCCAAGAAGCCCTGCAATACATGGCATTCCCGCGCATCGCCCTTGCCCTGCATAGCATCTGCATGCAGACGAGGCCTCCGACAGCGTGACCTCTGAGAGGCTATGACTGGGCTGTGGCCGTTTGAGGGCTCCGTGAACGGGAGTTCCACATGAAATGAAGGGTCCAGCAATGCTGAATCGGCTGGTTTCAGACCATGACTCGGTTGGCTGAGCATAGACTTGTGCCGGTCAACTCCTGCTGCAGGATGCTGCCCGGAGGTCTAGCCACTTACGTCTCGATATCCTGGCTGCCAGGGGCGCTGCTTCAGGGCCACCTTTCAGCGCCAGGCGCGTGGGAGAGTGCTTCGACCGGAGGCCTTGTCGGCAGCAGGTGTAGTCATTTTTCTGATTTCGCAGCGTGCTGGGAAGACAAGCACGCCCGTAGCTTGCCAAGGGGCCGTGATCGTCTTGCAGCACGAATCTCCCAATATGACAGCAGTACCCGCCATTGCTATGCACAAGAGCAGAACATGGGGGGGCCCCCACGCAGGAAGCCGCTTCTTGCGGCCGCCCGTGCTGCCGCCGCCACTCCTCGCGCACTGTCGAGCCGGGCCACCTCACGGGGTGCTGCTGGCGAGAGTTCGTCGACTTTAGGACTTGAGGATCCTGGCTCTGTCTGCGTCAGATCAAGCTTCCCCTTGAAAGCTCGCAATGTGGGTAGGGATTTGGCCAGGCAGTGCCGGCAGCGTAACTGCGACAGGGCAAGGAGCTGAGATGTGCAAAGGGCATGTAAGGTTGCTCTGCAATAAGAGAGATGAAGAAGTGATGTGAGCCAAGTCAACTTTCTCCGAGAGCACAAGATCGCTACTGTGCTTGCTGCCCGACGGTACTTCATAGTGCTTCGCAAGGTCCACCCAGCACGAGGCCGGAGGGTGGGGAGAAGGGTGCAGGGTGCGCTGCACGACAGTTGCCGCACACATGTCTGTAGAAATGTCGTATCAGAGCCTTACTAGCCTGGCTTGGACCTGGGCATCTTTGAGTATTGGGTTGTCGTACCATGTCCATGGGTTCTGAGGATGCCAGGTGGCGCTGGGTTACCAGTTGCCTTCCCGTGCATGTCCATCTGCTAATTGGATTATTTAACAACGGCATTTGATGGACATCAAAGCTAGGCACACATGAGACCGGGCTTCGCAAATTGCTGGAACTGTCTCGCAGTTGATCCAACTTTCCTTGTGGCATGTGCGACTGGTTTGTTATCACGTAAATGCACTGTCTTTCGTGCTGTCTGCAGGACGGGAAGCCGAAGCATTTCACTGCCTGGACTCAGCCAGGTGCTCGGTGGATCTCAGTGTTGTGCTATCAGCTTCTCATAATCTGGCCATTGAGATCCTTGGAGCCCTTCTGGCTTTTGGCGCACCCACTGTCCTGCCTAAGGCTCCGAACGAGAGAGCAGGAGACTCAGACAGCCATGTCTTCAACACGTTGGGATCAGCACTCCGTTGCACCAGACATGAATCATAGTCCTACGACCCCACGGCACTACACTCCCTTTGCAAATGCGCGGAAGCTCGCCTCTAGCTGATCCGCATTCCTTGCTTCGCCATGCCTCAATCTCAGGGCTCCTCAATATTCCTCAATGAAGTAAGATTGGTTTGGTCGTGACACGATCAGAATGTACAGACGTGGGGGAATGCTGAGAAGTTAAGATCAGATAGCGCGTGACTTCTTTGGCGGCGACACCGGCGGCCTCACCGGCCTCATGCCTCAGGGATCAGGGATCCTCACAGCATGCGGAGAGGAGAGCGTGCGCGGGAGTGCAGGAAGTCCGGCGTTTTGCCCGATGATGGGGGAGATGCGAGAGAAGTCCTGGCACAGCGGGGTCGCCGACCAGAAAACCGGACAGTGCGGGCTTTCAAGCGAGTTCCGAGGCTGGCACCGATGCCAGACGTCGAGGAGCTCCTGGCCACTCGGCTTTAGGGTTCTATGGCCAACATATGTTCTGGCTTGAGCCTTTCGGAATACCTAGAGGAGCTCCGGACAGACTCCGGTTCAAGCATTGTGCAGTAGTGTGCAGTGTCCTCCTCGCCCGAAATTTGACTCACCGAGGGCATCGGTCCCGCGGTGTCCTTTGGACACGGTCTTCTGTGGCAGATGCCTTGGACTGGTTAAAGGGAGGCTCTTTTTGGTTCTGCACTGTCTGCGCCAGGGTTGCCTTGCGCCAAATCGCTCGAGTTGCAAACTAGGAGGTACTGTAGGTTGAGATCGGAGCTGCCGGAGCTTTCAACCACGCTTGTGTCCTTTTTCGGGATGTGCATCGGATGCCGGAGATGGCAGCGGTGCAACTTCTTCTCGCTCTGGGCCGCTCCGACAATCTAGGAGAACTTCCCAGAGTAGTCATCGTGGCAACCACCAGCGGCGGAATGCAGCCCTGAATTAGAAGTTGAGCGGAAGCGAGAATCAAAGCAAAAGCCGACAAGTTCAAGGCCCGGCACTTTCCAGCAGTACGCCGTCGGCTGGATGCCAGGCATGAGCCTCACAGGACTGGGCCTCGGAAAGGGAAAGTGCCGCGCAACGCCGAGACCGAACGTTCGATGCCGAAACCTTCCACCCCCCCCTATCTCCAAGAGTGCAAGCACGCCAAGGTGCTTGCCTCGGGGTCGCCGAATTCGGCCGGCTCCTTCGGGAAAACCACGTGATCCTCGACTACGCTTCGCCAGGGGCTCTGCAGTCGTTCAGGGAAGGAGACCTGCCTTCTGACCCGGGTGTTCGGTTGAAGAGTCGGTCATGCGATCCACACGGCCAAGCGTGGCCTAGCTGCAACTTGGAACCATCCGGCTTAGCAATGCCCGGAGCGCCCCCCAAAACTCGCAAGCCATGGAGGTCCTCGAAACGTTTTGCCTTGAAGTCACTGTACCGGAAGTTCTTCCTCGTGGGCTTGCGAAGGCGTTGCCGCATCCTCGAGCTTGCCGTGGGGAGGGGTGCCCAAATCATTGTCGGGGCCGCAGCGCGTCTTCGGGGACATATGATTGTGTGAATCGCGGGATCTCCGAAGGCTGTTTCTGACCGTTTCACGGGCTTCAGGCACAGCTACAGCGCTTACACAGTACCTCGATCCAGCCGACGTCTAGTGTCATACATCGGCGAGTTTGAACATGATGTCAACCTACCTCACTCAGACATGTTGAATCAAGCCGTCAGCTCGATGTTTATGCCTTGCAGCACATCCCCGCACGGCTGCGAGGATTTCCCTGCACTTCTCAGCTTCGTTGAGGCAGTCGTGTCCACGACTTGATAGTGGGTGAGGCCTAGAAAAGGTTGCAGGTGTGCTGCCACGTGACGTCAGGCTCACACTCGGCAGACTGTCATATGTCCCCTGCATTGCCCAAAATCCGAAATCATCCGAAATCTTTCGAGAGATTCGACATCGCACGGACTCCGTCAGGCCACGGCGCGCAGTGTCACCTTGGCAGAGGCGACGGGGCCCGGGGGGAACATGCTCTTGCAGCATTGGACTCATCCTCCGACAAAGCTTCCTTCTACCGGCCCTAGCCGTGAGGATCTTCGAGCTTCGGGTGGATCCCGTCGAGGGCGGCGGAAGCGGGTGCGGCGGCCAGAGAAGGCGACTCCTCCGTTACTTGTCTCCCCGAAGCTTCTGCTTGAACAGTGCTCGTACCTGAACTGGCCTAGGCGTGGCCCGTGAAATTCTGTGGCTGGCAGAGGGTTTGTGGTAGAGTTTTAATTTAGCTGCAGAGCGTAGCAGCATAGCTGCCACCCTTGCACAATGCCGCGTCAGCGCCGCACCGGACGGGGCCTGATCAGTCTCGACGGTTGGTACTTTGTCTCGGAGGCAGGGACCGGAACTGCCTTTCTGCTAATTTCGCTTCAATTTGAACATGTAGCTCCTCTGTATAGCATGGCATCACTTGAAGGCGAAGGAGGTGAATGAAGCGGCAGACAAGGCATACGACCAGATTGAGATCAATCGTATGCGTGCCTGTGCGGTGGAAGTGGACGGTAAGACGTTGCACTTCTGCCTAGAGCCCAAGGAGGCGGGCCGTTGTTCGTTCCGCATTGCATCGGGACATGTTTGCGACAGTCTGGCAAAGTAGTGGGCATGGCTAACACCCTGCGAAGTTTTATGTCGAAGTTAGCCTGAGCAAGGTGGCCAACAGAGGCGAGGTGGAAGACTGCGCTGCCAATTTATCTGGCATGTGCAGGGCATGCACGGAGCGAATTTCGAGGTTCGCGCAGCTGCTCGAATCGATTCAGCCGGAACTTTTGATCCTTGGAGTCCAGCTGCGCGTGGCTGCTCTGCTGCCCGGATCTTCCTTGCAAGGCTGATCGGAGAAGACGGGACCTACGTCGCCTTCAATCAGGAAGTCTATTCTGGGCAGCTGTCTTGTGACCCTGTTCAGAATCACCGCACGCATAGTGTCCTTGAGCACGGAGTTTGTGCGCGCTTTGAGATGCACCAGGAAGTCTCTGAGAAGAACGTGGATGCAATCCGTTTCTGGGATAGCATTTGCTTGTCCAGTCACCTTGTATTTATTCCTTTCGGATACCTGTGGCTCTCTCCGCGCATGTCTCCGGGCTTCGTTGCTCTCGGCTCTCTTGTCTTTAGCTTTGCCCAGGTTTCGCGGTGTTTGACCCTTGCCACCTCTACTGCAAGCCCAGGAGCCAATCGCGACCAGCAGGAGCGCAGTCCGGAAGTGTCAGCATACAACTTCGTCGTGGTAGACCGCGAGTTTCTTGCACATGGAACTAGCTCTAGGTTCGAGGCTCGTCAGGATTCGGGGATTCGAGGCGAGCTGTATAAGGCCGCACAGTGCGGGCCCATGGCGAGGGGAATGCTTTGGTCTGTCGAGGTCAGGGACGGGACTTTCAGGAGTTTCAGGGTTAGCCTCTTACATGCTTCCCTCAAAGACATGCAAGCGCCGAAGCAAGAAGAGATTGAGCTTCGGCAGCCTGAGCAGCTTAGGTTCGCGGCGAGGTATCCTACGCACCAGGGCGGTTTTCAGCATGTGCACTTCACTTTCGAAGACCTCACACCTCCTGACGTGGCGGCGAAGATCAAGCAGCTGTCCAACTACATGAACGGCTCCTTTGACAATCGTTGCTGGGCTACAGAGCTGTGTCAGAAACTTGCAGTATGTTCTTTGTGCTCACTGCTCGAGCATCTTTAGGTTTCCAGAAGTTGATCGACGACCCGGCTTCGTTGAGAATCATCCAGGAGGAGATTCCGAACCTGGTTCGGCCAGATCACTGGAAGTCGGTCACATCCTGGGCTGTGAACTTTGTGGCGAAGGCAGAAGGACGAGCTTGGTCGGAGCTTCCGATGCACAAGAAGTTCGAGATCATGTCCTTCGCCATGCTTACGGGGCGTTCCCACGGTGCTATCCACACTGACATGCAGCAGGCCGGCAACTTGGTGGACTTCATCACTGACGCCCACAGCAGGCCTGCACTGCGAGCGCTCATGGACGACAGGAGCAATCCAGAGACTTATCAGGTCAGCCGTGTTGCTGGTATCTTGCGTGACAAGGCAGTGACATCCTTGTGCACCGTCACACTCACGTGGGGCGGTGAGGGCCAGCCGAACAAGTCGGACCTCGATTTGCACACGAAGGTGGACGGTGTGGAGCTTTACTTCAGCAGGAAGGTTGTCGGAAAGTGCCAGCTTGACTTTGACGCGAACGCAGGGACCGTTGAGCCTTTCCCCGCCGAGAACATCTCGCTTAACCAGCAAGGCACCTTCATCATCAGGGTCAACAACTACTGCAACCGTGACTCCGCCAGCGTTCCCTTCCAGGTCACCGTCAAGAAGCCGGGCTCTAGCCAGGTGTATACAGACGTTTGGCCCAAGGAGCGTGCAAAAGGAAACTTCATGGAAGTCTGCAAAGTGACTGTGACCCCCGAGGACGAAGAGTCTAAATCGGAGAAAGAGCCCTCAACACTCCCCAGCCAGAGTAGGGCCCGGCTGTGAGGACTTGGTCGAGGAGCCTGTGGAGCTCTCGGCTGCAGAGCAGAAGAAGCTGGCCGCCAAAGAGGAGGAGTGGATGCGCATGGTCGGAGAGCCAAGGTCCCGGCCTCGGCATGGCCAGTAGAAAGCCTTTTGTTCCGACGCAGCTAAGCTTGCTACTGCAAACGTCGCTGCAGTGAACGTGATGCAGACGTATCACGGGGCAGGAAGCCATTCCTCTGCAAAAGTATCTCGGTAGAGGTGGTTGCCTCACGCGGCTTGTAGACTGCATGCTTTCCAGGTGAACAGCTAACAGCAGTGGTCGAACCCAGAATTGCAAGCCCGGTGCTTCGAACAAGAACATGTTTGTCGTTAATAGCGCTGGGAAAGCCACCCCCCAGGCCAGCAGAGGCTCGATCCGGGACCATGCCATGGCCTCTCTTCCCGCCACATCTACTCTTGCGGCCTTTCCTTTGCAAGCTGCACCCACGTGTTCCTGTTCCAGAAATTAGAGATTCAGGCAAGTCACCCGAAATTCGAACGAATGACTGTCGTTGCGTTTCTGGCTGAACTTTGTCGGGAGTGTCTTTATGCACAGGTCTCTGAATTTTAGATTCGGCGGCAACTCAAATCTTATCCACTATCGCCAGAAACTGAACTTCGCGGTCTCGAAGTCACCTCCGACCAGAGAAACGAGCTGTTGTCAGACAAGTGTTGGTTGGGGTGCAGGAAGGATGGGCGAGTGAGCAATGAGCGCAGAAGGAGGAGGATCCTGTAACGATCGGGACGAAAGCCCTTCGTCGTTTACCGTGATGCCACCAGGGTTTTAAGTCGAGAGGAATGTTCCAAAGCTGCACTTTTGTGTGCGGCCCTGAGCTGAAAGACAGAGCCTGTCCACGAGAGGGAGGATTGGAACGCTTGGCTTGGACCCTTCCTTGTTCCTGCGGCTGTTGGAAGCTCAGGTCGACAGTTGCCACCGACGCAGACATTGCCGACACCGAAGGCCTCGAGATGGTCTTGGTGAAGTCAACGGCCTTCAGTCCCAGCAGCCGTGGCAGCGCACAGGCGGCCTTCGCTTCGATGCTGACGGCGCCCCCTGCCCGACCCGCAGGCAAGGCTTCGTTGGCGACTCGATGCAAGCTGGACAGCCTCCTTGGCTTGATTGAGCACGTCTCCGAGACTCCGTGCTCCTTGTTGGTTGACCCACGAAACTTTGTTCCGGGCTATGTCACACACCTGCAGACAGAAACGGATGTGCTCTTCGAGAACTTTGCTGTGAACGTGTACCACCGGAAGAATGAGCTGCCCCAGGCCCCAAGAAGCGACGAGCAGTCGACCGTCCGATTCGATCCAAGCTGGGGAGTATCCAGCATGGCAGCTGTGCATGGCTTCATCAAGTTGAAGAACCACTGGTTCATGGTATTGAAGGGGGCCCATCTTCCCAAGGATCCCTCCTGGCCGCGGGGTGGAGGCATGTATCCTACCAATCTGAAGCCTGAAGCACACCACCACCGCAGCAAGTGGGTTAGCTTCCACGCCCTGGTGCTGCCCGAGGAGCCCGCAACCGGCGTACCGCTCATTGGCTCGGCACTGGTTGGTTTCCCAAGCTTCCGCTTCACCCTCGATGGCAAGGAGATCTCCGTTTCTGCGGAGTGATTTCTGACCCGTCGCGCTCTTGCGCTCTGATGGCCCAACATGCGACGCAGATCCTGTATAGCTACTCTGCAAGCAGCATGTGGCACAGGCGTTGGGGTCCTCCCTGGTCCTACTGTCCAGCCTGAGGCGAACGGTAGTCTTGTACAGTGAACAGATGCACAGTGGACAGGTGCAAGTTTCAGGGATTGAAACAACGGAGAATCCGCGCCGTTTTGCACTTTCTGACTTCATGGTCGCAATTTATGCTTGTCGCTAGTACTGCTATGTTGTGAAGCTTTCTACAGACGTGGCTAGCACTGTGACTGAAAGCCTTCACTGATCGACTAGACCGAGCCAGCACCTCTATGAACATGCTGACAGCAGGCTGCCGTGGCGGTCCTACAAGCTGTTTTCAACTCATATGTCTGGCACTCAGGCAGTGTCAGGAGGCACGAGGGATTTACGTTATCCAGCGGAGAGGTCACGCACTGTCCAAGCAAGTCGGCTGTCCCAAGCCAAGTGCCGAATCTTCAAGAAGCATCTTGTCGCAGGACCGGGACGGCCAAGGGGAGCTATGCCGCGAAGACTACATGCGCCTCGTGCGGGATCGTGGGCAGGCGCAGAGAACGTCCAAGTCCGAATCCAACCAACGCATCCATTCTGGTGTGGAAGACCTTCAGCGTCAAATTAGCCCTGCTGAGCCAGTGGTTGCCACATGCCTGCATGAAACTTGCGGCGGCAGGTGCCACGCACACCCGAAGAGTTCCACGACTTGCACCGGCAAGTGGCATTCTGCCGTGAGGTCCATTTGCATGCCCCAGAGCTCAAGTTTTCAAGAGGGTACCTCCGGGCATGGCATTGCATGTGTTGGAATGTGTTGAACGTGTGTCATGCGTGTCAGAAGCGTCATACCTAAACCCTTTTGGTAGGTTCCCCTCGCACCAAGCCAAATCACCAAACCAAGCTTCACGAGACTTTTTTGCTCCTACAAGCCTGAGAACTGTGCCAGGATGGATTGCCAGGTCCGTTGGATTTCGCGGCCTTCATCAGGCCCGGCGAAACCGCTCACCTTCAGTGCCACAGCGCGGGTTCAGCCAGGCTCGTGACCTACCTGAGCGGTGCCGGCTGTGCATAACAGAAAAGGCAGCTGAAGACCGGCAGCCGAGAATGCAGCCACAGCCGCAGCCACAAGAGCAGCCCACAAGCGCAGCCACAAGCGCAGCCATTGCTTTAGTATGCTTTACTGGCAGTTGAGAAAGCGGAGACGTGCTGCTACCTTTTGCAGGCCTGGCGCTCCGCCACAGTGCATCTCAAGTCGTCTCAAGGGCACGCAACATGCGGGCTGAGCGCAGGAAGTTCGCCAACCGAGCGTTTCAATTCGGGCGAAGGTCAAAGGACCGAATCATGTAATGATTACAAGATGTTGCCAAAGGTACTGATAGCATGCGTCATACACTCTGTGCAGGTTGTTTCTGCAGCCCCTCGGGCTCAAGGTCGGGCTTCCAGGACCCCGTCAATACCCACCGGGCAACCAATCCGGTCATTGTAGCTAGCGCCACCGTCAGGTGCCGGACGCCAGGAGCTTGATAGCACATTCAAAAGATGAGGTTGCTTGCTGCATTGTGTTGTTTGAGGCAACAACCGTGAAGTTCGTAACGCAGATCTGTCCAGAGTGCTTGAGACTTGAAAGTTACACGAAGGTCGCCAAGATGCTTCCAGAGTCTTTGATCTCCGTTGCCAACAAGGCCGAGCGAGGATCGGGAGCTACGGCTACAGTGGCTACAGTTTGCCGTGGCTGAAGATCACAGGGAAAGAGTACTCGTAGCTCACGCGGCCTGGCTCTGGCTCTTGCGGTTTTTTGGCATTCGATTCTCTAGAGACGTACAGCAACCCTGGCACTGACCTCAAACGACGAGGCGGAGCTGACGTCATCGTTCCAGGCGTCCGCTTGCCGGGTCGGGGTTTCTGGGACACGGAGTTTCTGCGGAGCTTCTGTTGATGCTTTTTCGGTGAAGGACTCGTTCTCTTGGTCTTGTGTGCTGCCAGATCCGCTGCATGCAAGCTGAAGGCTGCCTGGAAGTATGTGATGGCCCGGGACCACCAGGTGAAGCTTTTCGAGGTGGAGGCTGTGGGGCAGGGCCCAGGTTGCCCATCTCACGAAGCTGGGGGAAAGGTCGTACTGAGTCGTACTGGTAGCGGAGTCGAAGTCTGTCGGCCGTCGCAGCACGTGAGCCGAATCGTCCCACCCTTGTAAAGCCGACCTCTAGGAGTATCGCAGCGAGACTTGCATCGTCAGGATTTCAATGCCTGGACGACCTTCGCTGCAGTCTTCGTCTGCCTGATTGCCGTGGGCTTGGGCAGAGATCTTCTCGAGCCGGAGGGTAGGGCCACAAGTCCGAAGCTCGCGGGGGGCTGGCCCTCTCTGTGGTGCTTGCATGTTGTGTGTGCATGGCGGTTCACATCTCTGAGATGCTCGACAACTTCTACCTCAACCGCAGCGCCGAAGAGTTGACAATTGGGCGCCTGGAAACCCAGCTGCGGAAGCCCGGCCAAGCTCTAAAGTTGGCTCGGCCCACCTTGCAACCCAAGTTGGAAAATTGGACCTGATGTCGTGTCGGTCTTCAAGATGAGGTGTGTAGTTTATGTCGATACCAGTTACTGGTACCCGGCTTCGCAATGCAGTATCCTGCAAAAGCAAAGAGGTTATGCATTGCGAGGCGCACTGCGCTACACCCTCTTCTGGATCTCCACGGCCTTTGCTTTCTGTGGCATCGGCCTTACCATGCAGCGGTGAACAGCAACTGTGCGCTACGTGCTGGGTCGACCTGCACTCGGTAACAGTGCCTAGCTTTTCTCATACTATCTCGTGCCGCAATGCCCTCTCTTCCGTTGCGCCGTGCGGCGGTGCAGGCTGGATTTGGTACACTTACGGACGCTCCAGTGCTTTCATGTGGATGAGCCAGGGCCTCGGTCGGCTTCTCCCCCCCCAAGGGGGGGCCTTGTTGGACCGGACCCTTCGAAAGAGACGGTTCATGCCGTTGATGCCGAAGCTAACCCGCCTGCCACGCGAAACCGTGTTCCACGAAGGTACTCGTATCTAGTGAAACATCATAATATGTGATACTAGTTGATGTGCTATGGGGCGATCGGATACCATGTGGCATGCTCCCAGCCCAAAGATAAGCGAAGCAACAAGTAGGCAAAAGTAGGCGCAGTTACCCCCCCTCCCGTGTGCAGGAAAACGAGTGCAACATTGACTTCAAGCGCATTTTCTAATTACTTGGCCGGCACAAGTACGGCAATGAAACGGACAAGGAACAGTTGGCAGACCAAGCGAGGTGGATACATGTTGGAGTGGCTGCTCTCCTTCGACAATCTGTTCGTGCCGGTCTCAGCTTCCCAAATTCCAGGACTCATTGGCAAAAAGCCGCCTTGAGTAGCTACTGGCACAGTACGAGTCCCGAAGAAGGTACGAAGGTACTCGGCAGGCTTTTATGCTCTCGAGGTCTTCCACCTCATCTTCAATCTGTATGGCACGCCTGACCATTTGAAGCATCGCCCGCTCTACATTGGGATTGGGCCTCGGAGCTGCATGACCAGGTGGAACCGGAATGCTGAATGATGTGGAAGCTCCAGCTGTGTCACCGGCCGATGTGAATGAGGGCAGCCTGATAGTTTGCCAAGGATTTGCGGTGCCGTGGCATTCCGCCTCATGTTCATCTTCGTGGGCGAGTGCCGAAGGGCTGAAAGGGCTTCAGATGAGAACCCAAATCTGTTTCTTGCGGAAGTTCTGAGCAGCTCGGTCCAGCAGGATGCCTGCCGACGAGGTACATGATGCATGCGATGGTCTTCATGCATTTTGTCTTCGGGGCCTTTCTTGCCTTTGGCTTAGGCAGCGATAGCAGAGGCTGACTTTCGAACACCCACCGATCACCGCTGATTCAAGACCGAAGAAGTGAGCAGCAAAGTCTCATGTCCCACAGTTCTGTTTGCTGAAACGTGTCGAGTCTCCAAACCGGGTTCATCTCGGGTGGCCTCTAGTTGGGCGTGTTCCGTGCCCCAATCCCAATGTTGTCCCTCCGCAAGGTTTACACCGGCGTCAAGACACTAGCCAGCGACGAGGAGGATGAGGTGTGGATCCTTCTGGTCAGGGGAGGGGCGTCCAGTCGTGGCCGAAGGCCTTTGGGCACAATGTGACACCTGCGATTCAAGTTCGCCCGATTCAAGCACGTGCGATTCGACCACAATCCCGCTTCAAGCAGTGGCGATAGGATTCTCAAAAAAGCAACTTCAGACAACTAGGCCAAACGATTGGGGATGTAAGCTGTGAGTGTGGGACGCCGTTAGTGTGTTGGGCCCCTCACTACAAGAATCTCTGGGTGATGGGGTTTAGGGTTTCTAGTGTTTGCGTTTTTGCGTATGGGTTTTGCGGTCTTGAAAGTTTAGATTTTTAGGGTTTAGGGTCTCTGGTTGAAGGGAATTAGGGTTTTGGATGTTCTTTTAAGTAACTTTCGAACGATTGAATGCACGAATCCGCGCGTGCATGTGCAAACTCCTCAATCACCCATGTGGCGGACTCGTCCACCGCGCCGGGTGGATCAATCTTGACAGGCATGCAGTCACCAAAAAGGGGCCTTTCCAACCCCATGTGTGCTTGCTGCCAGGATCCTTCTCAGAACCCGATGGTCAAGTGGCTACAGGAGAAGGTGCTGCAGAAAACTCTGATGTTCGTTCTGCTGCCTGACGCTGCCAGTGACACTGGTGTGAATTCTGACATCCATATGGTCGGTATTCTGATCACAGACCGTGTTTGCTGCATTCCAAGACGAGCAACTTTGAGCAGCGGGGCGTGTGATGCGTTCTGCTTGCGCTTCGCAGGTGCCATTCGTCAACGTCTACGACGACAACGGGGCGTGCGGAGTCCCGGTGGCCAGCAAAGATTAGTTGGTTGCCACCTAGCAATCGCCAAGACAAGCTCGGGCTTCTGTCCCATGGAAGGTGTCCGATGCCAGCTACACGATTTGATTAATCACACAACGTCCGCCCAGACCCTGTCGCTGTTTGTCTGGGGTCCAAGATTATGTACCCTTCGAGGATAAGAAGACTATACTGTGAGGAGAAGTGAACATTCGAGGACTCGGAAGAGGCTGAGAGGCCACATAAACTCAGAACTTGAACGGCTTCGGACAGCTTCTGCTAGAGGGCCCGTCCCTCAAGGGCCGTGTCAGTGCACAGGAAAGGGTGTACTCAACGTGGGCTGAGTCGTCAGTAGCTGCTGTCGCCTGAGGTTCTTCGTGAAAGTGCCTGTGGATGCAAACGGATGCCCGGCCCCAGATGACAAGAACCAGCAACTCGTCAGCAAGAGATTCCAAAATCTCGTTCAGGGCCAGACAGTCCAGGGTCACAAGTGTCGGAGTGTTTTTTTATTGGGGCCCGGACCTTCCGACAGCAGCCTGTGCCTTCGATTGCCAGGCCATTAGTGACCTTTGCAACCGCCAAGTACGCACCATGAGCTCGCAGGTTCGTTGCCCCCAAGGATGCCGAGTGCGCGAAGATTTCCGAAGGCAACAGCGAGGCGGACAGCAACCCTCATTGAGATCTGAATGCTCGCAGGAAGTTTTGTTGCGGTCTTGCTGGCACGACGACGTTAAAATCTGAAACGGGGCAGCTCGCAGACTCCTGTAACCGTAGCATAGTTCTTCCGGGACGGTCTTTCGTTCCTCTTTCGAGCACCGCAGGCCGTCTATGGCACGGTGGACTTCTCCAACTATAGGCTGCCGGCCCAGGAATCCACAGCCAAAGCCGCAAGTCGGAAGCTCGTCCAAGGGCCACTGTGGCAGAGAACCCGACGAGGCCGAAGGAAGTGTCTCAGCAGAGCATGTCTGCCCATGCGGCATCGCGGTGCTTCGAGACCGACCCTTCTCGCGTTGAGAGGTTGAGAAGCTTTGGTCTGTCTTCCGTTCGAGACGCTTTGGTGTGTCTTCCGGTCTTCCTGTGGTGTAGCAATTCAACCGGCTTTCCGGGTGTTGCACAGGACGCTGCTCGGCATCCAGGCGCTTGTGTTCATGTAATCCGCAGGCATCTGCCTATCGTCGATCACTGCCAGCCAAAGCAGTGCATGCCATGTACAAAACTGGTTAACGGGCTGCAATGTCGGAAGCCTTGCATACAATGACCGGAAGACTCTCAAGCTTCCAGCCCAAAAGCTCGAGCCCCCCCCTCCCCTTTTAAAGCAAACACCGCCCGAGACTTCTCTTCCACACATACTTGACCTTCTAACTTTTTGCACCCCCCCCCTACACTGCTTTAAGCGTCGCAAATCCCCAAGACCAAGACTCGCTGTCGCTTCGAAGCGACGCCTCGTTTTCGTTGAGCCATGAGCCATGGCGGGGCCCCCGGGCCGGGGCCCCGTGTATCGGCCTTTGGGCGGCTCGGCTCTCCCTCTCGGATTGTTTTTTTTTTTTTTTTTTTGGTTTTAGTCTTGTGGTGGAGTTCGCTTGAGGGCGCCGCGTTTCCTGGTCGAATTCCAGCGCGCTATAGAGAGGGGTTGTGCCATCAGTGTTGCTCCTGACAAGTGGTCGCGTAGCAGCTTGTCATGTTGTGTAGCTCGAGGACTCAACATGTTCAACAAGTCCACATGTCAAGAACGCTTTTGTGGCTCCATTCTTCCATGTCAGTCTCGCTGTCTCGACTCAGGTGGCACTGCTTGTGCCGCGCTGGTCGGGGCTCAGAATCCGTTCGAGCCAGCGGCTCGGGTGCCAGCCGCCTTTGAGCCTGTATCCCGGGTGCCGGCAGTCCTGCCGCTCGGCCTCAGTGACAGCAAGGTTGTGTTATTGTGTTGACCCGCGTTTGAGCAGCTTGCCCAATGGATCCGAAAAGAATCTAGGCCCAGCAAAATCGTGCGGACAATCTCGCCAGCGCAGCAGTGGCAACCGGCTGCTTTTGCATGTCCCGGCTGTGGCAATGTGCCCCTTGCGGATGCTTGGCCAGATTCGGTCCGGGCAACGATGCAAATAGCCTAGCATACTTGGTCCATCATCCCGAGTGAAGCCGTGTGTCAGAGCGCCGCCGCGTGCTCGACTAAGGACAGCATCTTCTGCCGCCGATGTGGCTACAGGCAGTTCTGATCCCACCCTGGTTCAGGGCTGGAGCTTGAGATGTGTCTTGAGAACTCAGAATCCCAGGATTGCGGCAATCGAAACAAGGGCCTTGGCGTAGAATTTGAGAGAACTGGATTCGCATGGCACTCGAGGTCGCGGCTTAGTGTTCTGTGCCTGAAACCGATCACTCTGCTGCAGCGGCTTGCTGATGTCACGCATCCCGTGAACCCCGATTGAGTCGGCAATGGGTCACCAGAGTAGTCTTTGGTATGCTATGTGTGCTTTCTGCTTGTCAGTGCTCGGCACGTTTTGTGGAAGGCATCCCGTTCAAGGGCTCGAATACCTGGCTGTGGCTGGTGGGTGGTAGGAGCTGGAGGCATCTGAAACCCATTTTTTCAAGAGCGGGTGCGTACTACCAAGTGTGAGTTGAGCTGATTTGTCAAACATTCCTTTTCCCAGAGCTCTCTGACTGCGGGGAACTGCAGGCTGCAAAACCATATTTGTGGCTGCTGGGGCACTGCAGTCTGCAGAAAGCCACAGGAACGTAGGACCGAGGAATTGTGGTAGGACTACAGGTTGCAGCAACCACAGGAACGCAGGCAGACTGGAAAATGGAATGTATAGGAAAATCGCTGAGTAATGGAACATTGCAAAGTGTCTCCGACCTTGCGTTCGCACGCGCTTCCGCAAACGGTGTAACAGTAGGCCGGATATTCAAATGTGGGTCTCGTGGCACAGAAGACAGATTCAGAGGCCTGGATGCGTGGAAGAAGTATTGGAACAGGAGTTCGCTGCGTGCTTTGCAGCCACTTCGAAGTCCGGTGGAGGACAGCGCAGCTGGTGAAAGGTGAGAGAGCCGGCCCAAGTCCTGGCTTCCTGAGCATTGACCACGGAGAACTTTCTGCCAAGCTTGGACTATGGGGCTGAGCTTGCCAGGGTTGGCGCATGGATGCTCTGCGGGAGGGATGCGGTCGGAGTGGACGTTATACGCCATTCCAATGGGGTCAACGACATCATTGGAGTATGCCCGCAAGGTACGTGGCTGCCGCGCATGACGGTTGCCAAGGCAGATGCGGAAAGGGAACTACGAAAGCTGAAACGTGTGGGATGCCGAAATGCTGCGTGACCCACCTTGCGAATGCTACGGTTATAAACGACTGCCTCCTCCTTATTTTAGGCAATGAGGGAGCTTGTAGTCTGCGCACGAACGTGCTGTCGGTGTACGGATCGGGCGACGGACCTGCTGCGTTCAGATTGCCTGCTTTAAGCGACCAGTGCTTCCCCTGCGCTTCCGCCGGAAAGGCTCAAAGAAGATCGCCCCGAGTCTCCAAAGGCTGGGGTCCGTTTCTCTGGTTTTCGGAAACTCCCGTTGCTCGTAGAAGGTGAAGCAGACGGAAGATGCGATGAAGCTGCAGTCTTTGGTCGACAACCTGCAGCAGGCAGGCTACGTCTGTATCCGTCAGATCATGCGTGATTGATGACTGCTGCTGCAGCCATGGCTGCGATGTTTACAAGACACGAGCTAAACGAGGATCCCGTTTGGCTGGTTTTCAGCGCTGACGCTGTTCAACTCACAGCTTTCAGAGGCAAATGTGGAGCTGAAGCTGCAGGCAGAGATGACGCCGGAGCCCCGTCGCATTTTTTGTGCTGCGCCAGGGTATAGCGCTAGAAGCATTTTCGTGGCCTGATCAAGAGGGCCGGCATTTTTCCTCACGAAAGTTGAAAGCCTGTGCAGGACCCTCAAGCTGCGTAAATTGACTTAGGTGCCACACACCTCATGAACAAAGTGTGGCGCAGCATCAATTTTAAACCCGAAAAGATCACGGCAAAAGCAAAGCAAAAGATTGCCTGTGTCGGCTAACAGACAAGTCAAGAGGCACGTGAACCGCGACTGAGACTGACTAATACAGACTCAGCGAGTGCTCGCAAAACAGCTTCTTGAGGCACGAGACAAGAACTAACCCCACTGCCCCACAAGTGCAGTGGCTGGCTTTGACAGTTTGGCGTCTTTGTGCCGACAGGAGGTGACCTCAGGCAAATGGTAATTAAGTTGTGCTATGTACACGAAAACAGCGTCGTGCGGCTGTGGCAAGGAAAACGGTATGTTGCATGAGGATGGATATCATTTCGGTGTGAAACGATGAAGAAGTGTTGGGCGGGATGAAGTCCAAGGCCTTCGCTGGCTTCGCAGGTGCGCAATTGATGTAGATGTTCGTCGAACGCCTGCAGAAATGGTGCAATGCCGGAATTTTCTTTGGTGTCGGCAGGTGGAAGATCTCACCAGGGATCTTGCAGCCTGTGCCTCGGTGGGGTCCTGCGTGATATCGTTCGAGTTCGTGGTCCCTCTGGTTCAATGATATTGGGGCTCAACCGACTTCCCGGTAGGTTTTCGTGCTTCGTTGACCCTTGTGGTTGCGACCATCCAAACAGCAGGATTGCCGGCAAGGGAAAAAGCGTGCCGACGAGGACCCACAGGGCACACGAGCTCTACCCTCCGTCATGTCACCGGAGTCTCCCGTCGATACAGCCCTCCTGCGCAAAGCTTTGCAAGAAAGCTTCGAAAGCTTGCACAGTCCTTGCACAGTGCTTGCAGAAGCTTGCTCCAGCTGTAGCCTCACGGGCGCCTGTGCAGGACCTTGCGAAGGCGCTGCGCAGCTGCCCAGCTGAAACGTAGAGGGAAAGGGCTAAGGACGCACGGCGGGCGCATGGCGAGGGTTTGAATGTTGGCTGTGCTGGGTCGGTGCCGCAAGTTGTTAAGTTGTGCTGTTTGAAAGCAGCCGCATGAACCACTGAGGGGTTGCAGAACTGGAAGCTGTCGTGCCGCCGACAAGTTTTTGCGAGGGTACGGGTCGGTCAATCTGGGCCGAGAGGCAGTCCCAGCAAAGGCAAGATCTCTCATGTCCAAGCCAAGCTCATGCAGTGGGCCCGAATTTGGGCGAAGATGCCTCTCCAGCCTGGCACCGCTCGGCAGGTTGCGCGGCAGGAAGCGGACAACTCCGAAGGCTGCGGGGACGTGCTCGCAAGCTCTGGGCCGGATTTCTTGCTTTGGGCCAGTGGCACACACAGACTAAACAGTGGTGCTTGTAACGCTAGTACATAGCACTGGTCCAGTGACCAAGCATGAGACCGGTGATGCGACCCGATGCAGTGGAAGCCCATCGGCATTGATACTGTGTGCACTGCATCCGAGGGTACAGAGGCTGAATTTGCATCTGCAATGTTCTCCTACCGCTGCTATGGGACTCTGGCTTTGCATGATCATGAGTAGGCTCACAGGAGCAAAACACATACGCATGTCTGTATGCTATGTGTCAATTCATTTTTAGAGCCTGCAGCTATAATATGCTACCGCTACGGCTACCCGCTCCCGCGGCTACCGAAACCGCTACCGCCGTGGCTGCTGCTGCTACCGCCTTAGAGCTTTCTGCTGCTACTGCTGCCGCGTGTGCTGGTATGCTTGGTGCTACATAAAATAGCACCAGCCCGACTATGAAATCGTAGGAAGTACAGCGGAGTGTAAGTACGAATGCTGCCAAACTTGGCTGCGAGGTGTGCTGGAGAAAGAGCTTCTTGAAGAGGATCGGGCAAAGATTCTGGAGGAGGTGGGCTCATGTCAAGCCAGCCTGCGTGCCTCTTCATGGCATCAGGTCGGCCAATTCCACATGAGATTGTGACGGTAAGTCATGCTGCATCTTCAAACTGCCACTGCTCCTGCCACTGCCTCTTCGTTCACCACTTCCGTTGTGCTACCGC